CGATCTTCAACATGGAATTTCAACTTCATGTGGTTAGTAGACACCACAGCTTGAAAAGCACTGAGTGCTGGTCTCCTCACGGTTTGGTTTATGCCATAAAAAATTATTAGCTAATTTTAATTAAAAAAACATAAAAAAAATACCTTCTTAATGAGCTAAAAATAAATAAGAATTTATATAAATCGTTTTAAATCACAATATTATTTAATATAACTTTATGATTAATTAATACATAGTAGTATTATATAGTAAAACAAAAAAAAATACATAATTACTTGATTAATGTAAAAATATATTTGAAAAGAGCAGAAAAATATAAACAAATATCATAAATATTTTGTCAGTAATTACATATATATTTATAGATATATAAATTCCCCTTATAAGTTATAACACAAGAAAGAAATTCCAATTTAATTTAGTAGATGCAGTAAAATGCACATAGACAAAGAAGAATCCTACAGTAAAAAATGAACAAATCTTTTCATTCAGCAATATATCACTATATATATTTTTGGCTAATAACCACCACAAACATATAATAAGTGGGCTGCAGGAATTTGTTCTGCAATATACATATGGACTCAAATTTAGGGAGGAAGGAACAATTTAAAGGATCTGACAAAGATATGGTCTTCCTTGGTCTGCTAGAAAACAATTAATGTGTGTTGTACTCTTCCTTATATATATACTTTATATTATTTATATAGGCTTCTTTATTCATCAGCTGAATTGGACTTGAGCACCTGCATCATATCTCTCCATAATTAGTACCATTTAGGTAAGATTAAGACTAACATTCTTTTATTTATTTATTTTTTTGTATTAAAGTTTTGAGTTAATAATAATTTGTAAAAGTTACTAATTATAGTTAACCCCAATTAAGTTGGTTATAGCTTATCAATAGAATTGTACTATAAGCATCTAAGACATGGGGAGACAAGATATGACACAGGTAGGGCTGCCACAACTATACTACAATATATATGACTTCAAATAGGTGCATATAAGTGCGCTTAATTTCGTTTTTAGCACACTATGTTATAATTAGTAAATTTCTGAAAAAATATTCGCCATATAGGTTGTCATCAATAGTTGTCTACTGATTTGCCACTTTAAGCCAAAATTGTAATTTTAGTCTTGTTGGTTCGATCCAGTGACGTTTTAGTCCTAAGAATTGAAAATTTTTGTTATTTGGTCTTATAATTTTAAAATTCAGCGCAATTCCAGTCATCTGGAACAAAAAATTCAACAAAATTCAAAATCACAAGACTTAAATTGTTAATAAAAAATATTTTGGATGGATATTTTATTAGCAACTTAAGTCATGCAATTTTAAATCTTGTTGCAATTTCAGTCTCGAAGGACTTAGAAATTGCAGCAAAATACTAAATTACCGGATCAAAAGACAAAAAGTTGAAATCTTGTGACTAAAAATGCTACAACGTTAAACGAACAGGACTAAAAATGCAATTTAACACGACTTTAGTCACAACTCGTATATTAGTCAACATAGTGTAAAAAATAGCAACTATATATAAATGATCAGTTTTACTACATGACTATGTTGGTTGTCGTACAAATTTTAATTATCGTACAAATTTAGTTAATGTACAATTTTTTATGACGCCTTGTATGATAACAAAATTTTCGGAAAAAATGGCCAAACATATTTGTACCATTTTTTATGTTTTGCCCATATAAGTGTCTTCAATTTTTTTTTTTTTTCCTTGTTTTCTTCTTTATGCACATTATATAGTGCTCTCTTACATTCAGTTCAGATTCTCCATCTAAGTCAATTCAACTTATATCTGTCAATTCCAAACAAAGCTGTCTCCATAATTTATTTGTAAAAAAAAATACTATAATTGATTAATTAAGGGGCTTATCTTAGTTGAGACAACAAATGAGTGCTAACCAGATGCTTGTAGGGAACTCATATTAATGGGAAGAAAACAGGCTGTTGCTCAGTTCCTGACTGCTTAATAATTTTTTTCTCTAAGGCCGGTCTGCTTCCCTGAAAATTATTTTTTTTTTTTATATAAAACATACTATACTACCTGAATTTTTTACTAAAAAATTATAAAAAAGTTAAGTTGTGGAAAAAAAAATACACAAACAAATGAGAGTGGACCATAATAAAAAGTCCGTATTCAATGCAGGGACCGAGCTGTACCCGACCCAGGGGGGGCATTGGGCCCCCCCTGAAATTTTTAAATAATTCAGGGGTATATTAGTAAATTCACATTAATGATAAAAATAAAAAGAAAACTATATGGTTAAATTCACAATTTTCTTGTTCAGTTTGAAGGGACTTACAGTGGCAGGCCTTTCCAATGACCGAGGCAATTTATTTGTGGCCGACACTTGAGTAAATTTTACCAAATGACTAATAAAAAAAATCCAAATATCTTTTGATCCTTTTTTTTGTTGATCCATTTCATTATGTAAAAGCTTGTTTAATATTAACAATCACATTTTTCCATTTGGCTTTTGAATGTTTCACTAGTTAAACATCTTACATCAGAAAACATGTGCATCTTAATCTTTATGTCTTTTATCACATTTTTTAATTTTTTATGTTACAATTTAGATCATGGAACGATTTTATAGGAGATTGCCACAGAATGTTGATTTTACCGGTTATGGTTGTTGATTATATAAAAGTTGTTAGTTTTACCGGTTGCCACTGCTACAGTGACATGAGTTTTTTGGGCAATGACAATCATCAAAGGTACGTACACTACGCAGTCAAATGGGCGACGAGCTTTTAAATGATTGTTTAGTGTCTTACATGGAGAACATATATTTCGTTAGCAATGAGGCTATCCTGCAACGATTTCAAAACATGAAAAAATAGAAGAGAAATATTGTGAAACTCTCAGTGTTATCGTAAGTTATTTTCTTGAATACTCGGACATATGTATTATGTTTATTTAGACGGTACTTGTATTGATTTATCTATTTTTACACTTGATGTATTTCTTTTTTGCTATTATTAGTTGAACCCCCCTCGATAAAATTTCTGGATCCGTCACTGATTCAATGAATACGTTTTACCATTTTTTTAATTGTAAAACGTATTCATTGAATACGTTTAGAAAACGTATTCCTTAAATACGTCCTTTTCATTTTTGTCCACTCTCTGTTTTTTCTTTTTTTTTTGTCCACATGTTTTTTAATTTTTTTTATTGGTAAATTGCTCTATACTACCTCCTATTTTTAATATATGTCGTTTTGAGAAATTGCACATTAATTAACAATATTTTTTTGTCAATAATAATCTTTTTTAATGAATATAGAGATGAATGTTTTGAGAAAAAAGTGAAGAGTGAATATGAAAAGACGTAATTTATTTATTAGTTAAATGAGGGTAATAATGGAAAATATGTACAAAAGATCCAAAACAATATTTATTTAGTTAATAGTTGATAAAGCTATAATGACATTTAAAAAATAAAATAGGAAAGAGTGTTAATTTTTTTCTCAAGAAAATAATAATAAAATATAAAAAATTAATTCATATGCACCTGAGGGAGAATATTTTGAATTTGGGCTTGTTGGAACATAAAAGAATTAACAGAATTGTCGAGGAGAGGATAGGTATTGGTTGTTGTGGGGCCACGTGGCTGCATGTTTGGCAATTGTGAGTCCAAGTTGTTCAATTCCTGCATGCAAATTTTATCTCACATAAATTTTGTGACAAAATCATTTTATTTTTATAAAAAAAAAAGTTATACATTTAATGCTTAATTATCATATTACTAGTACAACTAGTAATCATCCTGTGCAGGTACCAAACTGTTTATAAAATAGTATAAGTAATATGTACAAATTTAATTTTAAAACTATAGATAATGAACATATCATATTTTGAAGATTTAATCTTTAGTAAAAGTAAATAATATAAATA